GAAAGAGTGGGCTGTGGTATGTGCAATGGCAATTGTTGCAAAGGAAGCTGTGTGTGTCCCAGGACCCTTTGTTAACTATGGACACTCTCCAGGGCTGCTTGGGAAGTGACCGATCTAAAGAGCAGGGAATATGTTCGTTCTTTTCCCTTTCTTACTGTGGAACTTGCAGCAACAGCTCTTGTCTCCTCCACTAAAATAGTTTTGCTGGCTTCTGAATATCCTAGCTCCATTTCATATAAGGCGTGCAAGCTCTTAAACTTCCAAGAGTAAAGTGAAGGTGTTTTCATACAGCCAGTATCTATCTTGTGCCTTCAACCTGGACTCCTTAGCTGGGACAGGTGTGGCATGTTCCTTAGAGCATATGAGTTGGCATTGGCTACTGCTCTTGACTTGCAAGTTCTTTCCCTGTAAGCAGAGTAAGGATGTTTGTTCTCTCTGAATAGTCTGCAGATGATTTCTAAAATGCCTGTGTTCCCTGAGCTCTGGTCTTGCACTGAGCTATCCCAAGAACCTTCCAGCACCCTTTTGCACTCCCTGAAGCTGGACTGTAGGTTTGAAATATGCTTCTGTTAACCTACCTTTCATTCAAAGGATTTGTGCTCGTGGGCAGTTACAAATCACAGGAATCCTGTTTTGATGGGATTTCAGATCACTGTAATGTGGAATTAGCAATCCCATACTGTCGGAGCACCTGTCAAGAATGCCCTGTGTCTCTCCATGACAAATCTTTTCCCTCTTGCTCATGTTGTCTGATTGTGTGTGGAAGGTTCCTTCTCTTCCTGCACATGAATAGGGCTCCTTCAATTGTTTGCCTTGAGCTGGTCGTGTCCTGTTTCATTTCTGTACACAAACTACAGCAGTATACTTTGCTGCAGGATGTCTTGTCATCACTACAGAGGCCTGGACTTAGGCAATCCAGACAAGACAGGCTGAAAAATCTTGCCAAGGTTTGTATGAGCACCAGCTGTGCTTCCCCATGAGAAGGCCACTTGCCTTCAGCCTGCTGTCAGCACTGTCTGCTCTGCCTATGCATCTATTTCGTTCAAACGTTTCAGCTGGAAAACACACCCCTTTCACTCCTTTGGTAAAGAAGTTTTAAATGAGGATGGTGGGTGACCCTGTCAGCTGCTTTAAAGCGAAATCTCAGTGTGCAATCACTGTTATGTAGCCTGCAGAAAGGGAATTACAAGTTCATCTGATGTTTGGAGGTGTAGCATTTCCCTTCTGCTAAGGACTGATGCAAAGGGGCTTGTGTTGAATCAGTCTTGTCCTCACACTTTGGTCACTTAATTCTTTTCTTACACTGACTGCTTGTACTCTGGCTCTCGTTGCTTAGTGATTTACCAAGAAACTTACTTCTAACATAGGTGCCTGTAACCTTTTACTCAGAGCAACACTAAAGAATAGTAACCAAGAACTGGATTAGTATTGATGGCAAAAGTTAGGGGGTAGTATGGGGCATTCTCCCCTGCCTCGTGGTTTCCTGTGCAGTGTTAATTATGCAGTTTTGAATTGTTAACTTACTGTGAGCCATTCCAATGGTAGCAATTTACCTTTCCATTTGGTTTTTTTGCACTGTTTTTTGTTATGAAATGATGTAAGCTAATTCCACGTGTATATAAATTGTATTTTTTTTAAATTTGTATGAATATATTTTTATTTGAACTATGGCACTTGGGAAGTATTCATGTAACCATAACATGTCTGAGAGTAAAATGTTTGTGTGTCTCCTTCAGCACTTTCAAGGCCTTTTGATGTTTCTAGTGTTGTCTTATTTTTGCCCTTTATTATAATAAAACTAGTAGAACATGGCAATATCCAAGAATATGATTTGAGGTAGATGAGTAGTTGCTATTTATGAGCTGTCTGGATCTAACAGTTTGTGCAGAAGGTGCTCTGAGGTTGGGCAAAGATAGGAATTAGTGTAATCCTTTAGGTTGCGACCACTCTAGTCCCATGTTCTCTCACAACAGCTGTTTAAAAGGAGGGAATTACTGAATGATAAGGAGCTGAATTGTGCACGTTGTGCTAGAGGTGACTGCTGCTTTTCTTACCTGAGAACTCTTGCTTTCTGCCTGCCTCCCAGTAAGTTAATGAAAGACATTTAGAGTGCAGTGTTGCACTCGTTCACAGGGGACTTCTCCAGGATGTGAAAAATCTTAATTTCACCTTTAGCTTTTATTTAGTTTGTGGCTATCTTTCCTGCTTTATCCTGCTGTCTACCTTACGGAAAAGAACTTGTGACAATTTTTGATCTTTCATCACATGCTTACAGGCCAAAAATGTGAGTAAGTACAGTCTTTGAGCACCGTAGAAATATCTGACCCAAAAGCTCATTGCCTTTCCATGTTTGTGCTGTTTTTCTGGATCAGGTAACTGTGTTGTCCAGGTTGCCTGTAGTAGCTCTCTGATGCACTCTAATACGAATTTAGCCAGCAGTTTGTCTGGCTCCTGCCCTCAGTCTCTCACTTGGTGTGTATGTAGTGACAGGGAGAGCCTGCAATAGATAAAAGCATCTATTGGGAGGGGATGGTGGAAAAATCTGTGTTTGGGAGTTAAATAACAAGTGCCATGGTGGTCTTAATTAAGCTGTGCTCCTAGCAAGGAATCAGGGTAGAAGAGAGTCATCAGGAGAAAAGAGCAGGGGGAACTCTGCTTCAGCTCTGCTACTGCCTTCTGTCATAAATGCCGTAATGTAGGAGGGAATGAGAGAAGCATTTCCTCCCTAAAATTGAGGTACATCAACTGCCACTTTAGCATAACAGTAAAGGAGGAAATAGACTATCTGTCTTTTTTCTACTTTCTCACCTCCATCCCCTGAAAAAAAGAGGTTGGGAGAGATGTGTCTGTCTGTGCTTACAGACACAGCTTGACAATTTGGTGTAATGGCAACTTCCTTGCAGCCAAACCTACTAAAGCAGCCAGCTGGACTGATGCAGATACCGGACACTTGGTTAGAGCCTTTGTCAGCTTTAGGGCTGCTTTGGGTGTCAAGATTACGTGCAAGGTGATTCCTACTGCAGATAATAAAAGCAGTAAAGTTTCTTGCCTGAAGAAGGAGGGATCAAAAACAGTTTTAAGTGGTGGTTTGTCTTGCATTTTGTCATAGGTGATAGAGGTGGTTACTAGAAAAGCTGTGTATTACATTCATGCTTAAAGTAACCAACTTCATGTTTAGATTAAAATCCCCTTCTACTGAGGTTTATAGTGTCATTAAATCCAACCGTGTGTCATGATCCCTGTACCTGTAAACTGTGTATCTAGCAGAAGAATTTAGTGTTGTTCAGTGAGATTTTTGTTTT